TGTATCTGCCTCCCAAGTGCTAGGATTAAAGATGCTCAACACCACATGTGGGCCTTCCAATTAGTCTCAAGTTATTGAAAACATCCTGAGAAAGCAAAGCACTTAAAATTCTGGTCAACTCCCCAACCCTCCTTTGGGCATTGAGAAAGCCTGAACTCAAATTACTACTGTGTTTTCAGTTAACTATCTAAAATACTATTACCTGCCATTTGTACTATGACTTCTTGGCTTAATACTGTATTTTCTTTTATAACTGTCTTGGTCTTGTTTTTTAGTTTTTTTTTAATTTTGTCTACTTATGTAATTACTTATTAATTCAACCAGTTTTAAAACTTTTTTTGTGGATTTTCTAAAATGTAGAATAACAGTTTTAACAAAGAACAGAATTAACATTAAATGTAAATTTAATTAAATGTAAAGTAACATTCTCTCTTAAATCAGTACATTACCAAAAATATAAAATCAGTAACAGTGTCTGACTGACTGTCATATTAAATCAAACAATAGACTTTCCTTCTCACCATTTCTGTGTGTAAGCATTTCTCTCATTTCCTCATGGTCACATGGATGAGTAAAATCAAACACACTGTGTCCAGTTAGTTCAAACTGTAAACACATTAAAAAAAATTAGATCTATATCATACAATCATAAAGTACCCAGAAGGGTTCTTCCTATATGGGCACTTTACCTGAGTTAACCCCATGTATTTGTTCACGTTATCAGAGATGTAAATCATGTCACCATCATCTGTTAGCACCATAACAAAGCCATCCAGGGCTTTCAAATAAAAGCAGTTCATCTGCGCTTTCATTTCATCTTCAATGTCTAGATCGCCTATGAGGGCACAAGAGGAAAGAAACAAAATGAGGCTTTACTTAAGATGCTTTTAAATATCTATAGTATAAACATTTATCTCTGTATATTTTCATGAGATTTTTTTCCCATTGTTTTGCACAACTGTTTAATTTGCAAACAGGCATATCACTAAGGAAAAAAAAAGGATATTTTAAGAAGAAGATAGGCATGCCTTTATAGTCAGCATTAAGGGGGAAGAGAGATAGGTAGATCTCTGTGAGTTTGAGACCAGCCTGGTTTATACAGCAATATATAAACCAGCCAGAGTTACATGGTGAGACTCCTTTCTTTTTTTAAAAAAAAAAAGGGGGGGGGAGGGAGGGAGGGTTGGGTACAACAGGAGGAAATGGAGGAAAAAGGTTGGTATCTTGAAAATGTCTGAATGAAGCTTCAAAAGCTAATAAGAAAAAGGATTCTGTCATGTGGAAGAATCAAGAACATGTTCTAGAGCATGAAACAGTGACAACTTTATTGGGTTATATCTATTTACTGATTATGTTAATATACCAGGAGCTATAGAGTTATAGTTGCATGTTTAAAACTAAAGGACAAATCAAAACAACTTTTAGTACAAAAAGAACTATTCCCACAGGTAACTAAGAAAACCAAAGTTTGATTAAAGGTGTAAAGAATACTGAAAAGATTTAAAGTATACATATCACAACATAATTAGGTACTTTAAAAATCATTGTGTGTGGCAGCAGTTAAAAGCACTGAGGTTCAATTCTCAGACTCACAGCTGTCTATAACTAGTTCCAAGGAATTTGACATCCTCTTCTGGCCTCTGGAGGTACTAGATAGGCATGCAAATGTTGAAGGTCAAACACTCATGCACATAGTAAAAATTTAACTATATATACAGCATTGTGGGGCCAGAGAGATGGCTCCAGTTAATAATGGCTCATAAATACCTGAAATTCCAGCTCTAGGGGATCTGACACCCTCTTCTGGCCTTCATAGGCACCTTCATGAGCATATTAACACACACACACACACATGTGCATGAACATGTATGCACACATAGACACATACACACAATCTCTTACAAATAATTTCTATTTGTCTTTAATTTCTAATTTTTAGGTCTATTATGTTCCTGTAGAACTCACCAGCATCCAGTAGCTTCCTCACACGTAAGTAACTGATGGTGAGCCTCATAACAGAAGCTTTATCAAGATGGGAGCTCACATTGTGGGGAAGTGGCAGCTGATGAGCAAGCTCATAAAAAACTTCCGACTCTTTGCTTCGCCGAGATCTTGCTGCATCTCTGGACTTTTCTTTTCGACGTTCAGAACTCATCCTACTTAACAGAAAAAAAGAAAAAAAAAGGAAGAAGAAAGAAAGAATGTATATGTTAGTTTGCCTTAACTTGAATAAAACTAATTTGCATTTTTGTGTACTATATAAGAATTATAAGAAGGCATGTAATTATATAAGACTTGTATGGGAGATGAACAAAATTTTATATAAGAAAGCTATACAAATTTTAGATCACTGAAAACATAATAAATTCTTTTAAGATGTCCAAGTTTTGAACATTTCCAAGCAGATGTGTTCACACCCAAATTACAGCAGCCTATGTATCTAATGTCTCACACTTATTCCAAAGTATTCTTAGCATAGAGAAACCCTAAGTAAGTTTGAAGAAACTAAAGTTGTATATAATAGTTTGAAAACAGGTAATAATTTTATGGGCAGTAAGATATTAATAGCTATACATGATTTTATTAGTTTCTTTTGACATCAATACTTTCCCACCCACTCTCTGACCATGGGATTTTACATTAGCAGCTATAACAAGCTACCACTTTCAGGTTACCCACATTCCTAAAAACTCCTTAATCTATTGCTGGCATAATGGATATCAAATAAATGCAGGAATGTGGCAGAAATAAAGATGCATCGTAATACCAACCCATGGGTGGGTGTGCTAGTAAAGGTGATAGAAGCATCAATACAATGAATGATACACATTGAGGAGTCTTCCAAAAACAGATTACCAGGTAAAGATATGTTACATTTGTTGATACTTTAACTGCGTGAAGGCACGTCACTCATTTCTACTGCCTTTGTTAAGGAGGTAAAGATGTGTTATATTTGTTTGTGATGCATTTGTTTAATTATGTAAAGACGTGTTGCATTTGTTTCACCTTGCCTGTTTGCTGCACCGGATTGGTCTAATAAAAAGCTGCATGGCCAATAGCTAGGGAGGAAAGGGATAGGTGGGGCTGGTGGGCAGAGAGATTAAGTGAGAGGAGAAATCTAGGCTCTAGAAAGATGAGAGAAGGAGAGAATGATGAAGAGAGGGACACACCTGGGGCCAGAAGCCAGACAGTCACCAGTTAGACACAAAAAAGCAGTGAAAATAAGATATATAGAAGGAAAGAAAGGTAAAAAGCCCTTAGGCAAAACATAGATAAAGAGAAACAGGGTAAGTTTTATATAAGAGTCAGCAAGAAAAAAGACTAAGCTAAGGCCAAGCATTCAAAACTAATAATAAGTCTCCATGTCATGATTTTGGGAGCTGGTTGATGGGTCAAAAAAGAAAAGCCTGGTAATTTGTTTAAGTCATATCAAGCAGAGCTGTCTTCTTTGCTTAAATGTCTAGTAACATGCTCTTCTTACTTGAATGTCAGGCTAAAACCTGGCTCTGTTCTTAGCTGCTTCTTTCTATACGTCTGCCACTATCAAATATTACTCTGAACAAAGTGCATAGTTATCTCATAACTACTTATAAAGAAACTAAACAGTGTCCCCATTTTAAGAAACTGGGGCTCCACAGATTAAAAACAGCAACTGTGTAGCAAATAGGATAGGAACACCAGTGCTTGTCTTTATTCTTCTACAGTTTTCTCTATTAATGGAGGATGCTGCCTCTATTTTACTCCTAAGCTCCATTCTTATTAGGTCAGATATTTGCTAAATGTCGAAAATAGCTCTTAGAATCTGCTAAACATTTAGCCATATACCCGGGACTTATTTTACTCAGTTCTTCTTGTACTCTGTGAAGGAAGCACAGAATCACCTCTTCTTCAAGTCTCCTTCCTTTGAATGTGAGGCTGAAAGCTACAAGCATAGAAATCACCTTCTTAAGCAACTGTCAAGAGCTCTCAGCAACTCTTGTTATACCAAGTTTCCAGAGTTTAATAAAGAATGTATATTTGTTATATTCTAAACTGTGATACAAAAAGTTCAATTCAGACATTTAATAAATGTGTCCAACTTTTTTTTTTATTTATTAAAGATTTCTGTCTCTTCCCCACCGCCGCCTCCCCTTTCCCTCCCCCTCCCCTGTGTCCAACTTTTTGACATTGGGACACAATATTGTCATGAACTATTCAACGGAGCTACAAAATTTTTCAGTGAAAACTCTTACATTTTATGTAAGTTTACAATTACTTGAGTTAGCCACATTTATAAATATTGTGGGGGCACATGTAGTCTGCAGGCCACTGGTTGGACACACCTGGTTCTAGAGCAATTTCAGTCAAGAACCTTAAGATTTTAAATAGGGCTATTAAGAAACTTGTCACCAATAGGGAGTGGATATGATTAAAATATACAGATATAAAATTTTGAAAGAATAAAAATATTATATAAAGGAAACATCATTTGGAGCTACTCACCTAAATAAGTCAGAATATTCTTAGAATTCTACAATAAAAATATACTGAAGCCACATGAGAGTGCCACAATGTCAACAGTTTGAAAAAAATTTTTTTAAAGATTTATTTATTTATTGTGTATACAGTATTCTTAGTATTTTGCATGTATGCCTGCAGGCCAGAAGAGGGCACCAAATCTTATTACAGATGGTTGTGAGCCACCATGTGGTTGCTGGGAACTGAACTCAGGACCTTTGGAAGAGCAAGCAGTGTGCTCTTAACCACTGAGCCATCTCTCCAGCCCCAGTTTGAAAATTTTTGAGTGCATTAAAAGTACTTTGTTTTCCATTTGAATTCTGAAATAAAATGTGTAATAAAATAGCTTTTGAAACTCATTTCATTGATATAATACTCTGGGAGGGGGTTAGCAGAGAGCTACTGGGTTTAAATGGACACTAACAAATGTTGTTCTCTCTCTCTCTCTCTCTCTCTCTCTCTCTCTCTCTCTCTCTCTCTCTCTCTCTCTCTCTCTCTTTCAGGGTCTCACCGTTATCCACGGCTAAAGATTTATCTGCCTGTGACCTTCAGCTCTGAGTTTAAACGTATGTGCCATCACCTCTTTAAATTCATATGTAGTGGTAGTTGTGGGAAGCAGTACTCTATTTGAATGACCAGCAATCAACCTAAATATTAACTCAGTCTAGGCATAGAGAACCTTATAAGCAACTTAAAACACTTAACTCCCGTTTCCTTTCCTAAACCACTTAGCTAAGCTAAACTACTGAAAACCAGCCACTCAAATCAAACACTTGAGGGGGGAAAAATGATAAAAGCTTCCAGGGTTTTAGAATCTAAACTACATACCTTCTTATCTACTCCCAGGAAGACTCTGTATCACTCATCTGCAGCAGAACTGCAGGGCTCACAAAGGAAATGGGCAGATTTGCAGCATGCAAAGTACCCTATCCAGCAAATGACCAACTCCATTTGTGATGTTTTTTAAGTACAGATCTTACTTCTGCTTCTTCTATGTCTGTCTGAAGTAGTATTTCAGCCACGGATATAAAGTTCTGTCTTTTGAATAATTTGCTTATCAGTTTCCACAACTATTCTAGATATAATATAAATTAGTAAAACAGCTAAGTCTTTGTAGCTTTGTGGTTTCTGTTTTTAAAAAAATATTTTGTATAGAACTCCAGGAAGTATTTTAAACCACTGCCTTTTTAAGTTTACATACAAAGTTTGTGAATAAATTTGTTATATTATGATGAGACCCTATTACTCTTTAGGCTAAGAACACAAAATAAATATAGATATTTTAAGACATATACTTGTATTGTCTATTAGTTAAAAAACGTCTGTTTGCTTCCTTACTATAAAAGGATGTGACTTTAAGAACTGAAATTAGGGGTATTGGGTTAGAGTGAGTGCTGTTCTTGTGGATGATTTGAGTTCTGTTCCCAGCACCTATGGCAGACAGTTCACAACTGCCTGTAACTCCAGCTCCACAGGAATACAACACTCGTTTCTAGCTGCCCACAGGCGCTTGCACACATGTACATGTACACACACACACACACACACACACACACAAAATCTTTTAAAGAACAGAAATTATGGAGACTGGGCCAGAAGATAACAAGTTTGCTGTCAGCCTGAGCTACAGAGCAAAAAATGTCTCAAAAAACAACAAATAAACAGTAATAGAAACCCTAAAGCTGAATCACAACATTAAAAATATTGGCAGATGATGAGGCTTATTACTAAAATAGTTGATGTATAAAAATTTTAAGTTATCCATGAACCCTACTATTTGATATGAACAAAACAAAGCGCTGTGCCTTTGAAAAATAAGTTGTTCTTTCTGTTTTGTTTTAAATTGTGTTTGTATTTCTACAGGACAGACATTCTGAAATAAATGTTCAAGACAATGACTACTTCACATAAATGAGTAGTAGCTCTCCTAAAAGGTCTGTACCCATTTTTGTTTCTGCCAATCCACAAACATATCTATGGATGTGTACTGTACTCACAACATACAACTTTCCTATGCACTCATAATATATCATGAATTTAAAATATATTGTTTTTTTTAATCAAGCTGATGAGAACTATATCTCATTTCAGTTCTCAAACCATGTATTTATGTGTGTAAGTATCTGTCTTGAGTGTATTTACATGTGCGTGGGTGGATATGCATGCATGGAGGCTTGAAAAGGGTATGGAAACCCTTGGAGCTACAGTTATGCGTCTTGTGAAATGCCGGCCTTGTTATGCAGGTTTTGGGCCCTGAACTTCAGTCCTCATGATTGCAGAAGTGTTGTTTACTACTGAGCCATCTCTCCAGCCTCCTTCCCATACTTCTTAAAGTCTCAGTCTGAAGAAAATCTCAAGGAATTTCCATATTTCCTTTTTGGCATGCTTGCCTGTAGCTTTAAACTAAAATTCTACCTTTGTACTTATTACTTATATGGTGGTATTCTAAATATTTTCCAACTATTAACTTATTTAATCTTTACTCTCACCATCAGGTTACAGATGCACTACACACATCCACACACAGAATGAGAGCTTACTAAGGTTACAAAGTTAATACAATCTATTCCAGGTTAAGCAGTCTGGCTGAAAATCTTTATTTAAGACAAATTATTCCTAAGTCTAGGCTATTATTACAAAGTTTAAACTCTGTTGACTTAAAAAATCCAAATGCAAACAATGAGGACACTAAGAGAGACTTACATAGATCTAATGTACATGGGAAGTAGAAAGTATAAAAAGACAAGATCTCCTGAGTAAATTGGAAGCATGGGGACCTTGGGGGAGGATTGAAGGGAGGAGGGGAGAAGCTGGGAAGGGAGTAGAGAAAAATGTAGAGCTCAATAAATATCAATATGCATAAGTAAGTTACGGGGTTAGCTTTGGAGTGTAAGACTGAACACTAAGCTATTCAGAGGGATTCATTACCAGACTCATAACCTAATTTGAAAAGCACATACTCTGATGGCAATCAGAGTGGCTCACTACTGGCCACTCTTCAAAGAAAAACAGCTTTTAAAATGGGTACTGGCCAACATCTATGAAGAGAGAATCGGCTGATCTACACAATGTATTCCTGCATACAGGTATCTTCACAGTAAAATAAACATCTTATTTTACTATTATTTGTTTATTTGTTCAGTATCAGTCTGTTACAGCAACGTCCTCATTCTGTTTGCACTAATTTTAAAGAGTTTTTCTTTACTATATAAAGCCAAAAGAGTAAAGGCTAAGGTTTTCTTTCTTCCTTCCTTTTTTTTAAATCCCAAAGCAATTCAGACCTTAAGATAATGAACACAATATAATAAAAATACATTCGCAAATGAAGTGTATCCCTGTATCCTAAGTCTGGTATTTAAGCAAGAAGGAGTCTGCTATTTTAACACCGAAAGGTTTTAACATCATAATTTTCATAGAACAAGGGGAGAGTTTACCAAGTCTTTGGTCTGTACTTTACAACACATTGAAGGGGATTAAAAAAATATCACTGGTACTAAAGAGATGGTTCATGGAGAGTGTTAAGATGGTTAAGAGAGTGTACTGCTCTTGAAGAGGACCCGAGTTTGATTGTCAGCACCCTATCAGGCGGCTCACAACACCTGTAACTAGTACAGAAAAGTGATCTGATATCCTCTGTAAGCACTTGCATTCACATATATATACTCCCCCATACTTAAAAATTAAAAAGGAATTAAAAACATTTTATATGTATGGGTGCATGTCTATGCACCACCTGTGTGCTGTGACCCACCGCCAGTGGCCAGAATAGGGTGTCCAATTCTTGGATTTGGATGATTGCTATGCCTCCATGTGTATATTGGGAACCAAATCAGAATCCTCTACAAAAGCAGAAAGTGTTCCTAACCGCCAAGCTATCTCACCAGCCCCAAATTAAAAATAAATCGTTAAAAAAAATCTGGAAAAAAAAAAAACCCTGTAACAAAATTAATTACTACTTGCTATATAACACCTCACAATCCATATGAGAATCCGTCAACGACTGACTGGATTTATGTTGCTGTTTGCACAGGACTGTTTCCTGACTTCACTGTGTGCTCTCTTGTAACAGGAAAACCAGAGCTTTGGATGATCCAGGAAGTACTCAATTTGGCGCAGCATGACATGAAGATAAACTTGTTTCTCGACAGCTTACAATCTGCTCAGCTAATTTAACTTACTTTAATTAACTTGGGTCTTTCATATACATTTCCATATTTTAGAAATATTAACCATTTGTCATATTAAATTTAATTTTTCCAGAACCTATTTTCTCTCATTTGTTTCTTTTTCTCTAACTAGGCAGTTCGAGCCCTTTTAAAAATTAAACCTTTTCCTTGCTTACTTTTGATGTCAATGTATTAAACTGTCACTTGCTTTTGACACACATTATTTTTTTTGGCACACATTATTTTGTTCAACTTTTTAAATGATTTTATTTAAAATTATTTAAATTAAATTATTTATTTAAAATTATTAAAAATTCTTACTTTGTACAGGTAAAATGATTTAAATATGTGGCAAGAAGCATCAATAATCACTACTTGCCTAAAAAAAACTATTTACTGAACACTTATATTTAGGCACTGTCTTAAATGAGTTATTAGCTCATTTAGAAGCCTTCCTCCCCACGCCCCCCAAAGGCAAGTGGCCTTCTTGAACCTTGGAATGATAGAAATTGCTCTTTCATTCAAGAAATACAGAGAAGGGCTAAGGGATGGCTCAGCAGTTAAGAGCACTCACTGCTCTCACAGAGGATCAGAGTTCAGTTTCTAAAATCCACAACTTCCTGTAACTCTAGTTCCAGGTATCTGATGCCTTCTTCTGGTCTTGGAGGGCACTGCATACACATGGTACAATTACATACACACACGCAATCAATCATACACATAAAAACACATCTTACTAAAGTAGAAAGAAAACAGACCAGAAATTTAAAAATTATATGTATTCAATATACTACAGAATCTTATTATATAAATCTATTATTCTACTTACTATATAAATCTATTGTTCCATCGCTTAAGATAGATAGATAGATAGATAGATAGATAGATAGATAGATAGATGGATAGAAAGATGCCAGTACCAGGACTGTGCTGCTTAGGGACTAAGAGTATATAGTGATAAAGGTTTATTAAGGCGATTTAATACAGTATTCCCAAATGCTAGTCTAGCTATACCATCAATCACTTGGGAGATGATATAAATTTCAACTACCCTTTTCTCATCTTTATAAATTCTGACTCAGTACTAGATCTGAGGCAGAGATAATTCTTTATTTCAAAAAATATATATTTATTTGGGAGTAACCGACCAATTTTTGTCACTGTAAATTGACATAATTTTGCACTCAAAGTACCATGGCAAGGATTCTTTAAAACAAAGAAAAAAATATATCCTGTTTAAAGTCTAAATTATTTTAAAAACACACCTTTTCTAACTCCCTATTTGTTTAACTGCTTGCTACACAATTCTCAGCACTCAAACAGTTACTGAAAAGTGTCTCATCTCATCTCTTTGGGCTTGCTCTCTCTACTTTCTGCCTGGATCCCCTTTCCAACAACACATGACTGGGGAAATTTATGTGAGAAACTTTCAAGACTCAATTCAAACATCATGTTGTCTGTTTTGTTTTTAGTTTAGTATTTTCCCAAATTGCTTCTCCCTTGTTGACCTCTAGTTATTTGGATATCTTCATTCATATTCTTCATAACACTCAAGCTTCTTCCAGAAGAAAACTTGTGTTTTGTGTACAAATATGCATAAATTTGACTTTGATTTCAAGCAAAGAACTAACTGCCTCTTCAACATTCCTTTTAAATATCTCGAAATTTGTGCTCTGTCAGTGCTCCTATGATCTTACAGCTTTGTGTGTATGTGTGTGATAAGATCTCCTGTCACAGCCGGGCGATGGTGGCGCACGCCTTTAATCCCAGCACTCCGGAGGCAGAGGCAGGCTGATCTCTGTGAGTTCGAGACCAGCCTGGTCTACAAGAGCTAGTTCCAGGACAGGCTCCAAAACCACAGAGAAACCCTGTCTCGAACCCCCCCCCCCCAAAAAAAGATCTGTCACTCAGGCTGGCCCTGAACTACTGACCCTTCAAGCTTCCATCTCCTTAGTGCTGGAATGACAGGCATATGCCACCATGCCTGGAAGTCCAGTGCAACAAAGTCAGTACTAGGAACAAAGCATTTTTGACTGGGATTCACTAGGATCATCTACTGATAAACCTTAAAGTCTTTCATCTCCTTTTCTACTGACTTTGTCTCTTTTTTTCATACAAGAGTTACCAGAATAATTCTTCTAACAGTAAAGTCATAAACTCCTTTGCTTAAAATTGTTTGGCCCTTAATAAAAGTCAAAGTCTATATAGCAGCCCTGTGTGCCCCATGATTTCACTTTCCACCTACCTTAGCTCCCTCCTTCTTTACTCTGCTTTTTCTCTTTTCTTTTTTTGAGACAGGGTCTCCCTATATATCCCTGAGTGTCCTGGAACTCACTCTGTAGACCAGGTTGACTTCCAACTCACAGATCCGCCTGCCTCTGCCTCCCAAATGCTGGGATTAAAGGTGTGTGCCGCCATACTGGCCACTCTGCTCTTAACTACACCAGTTCCTTGTTGTTCTTTAAAAGGTCAGACACATTCCCTCTAGTTGATCTGGACCACAGCTCCTCAATCCCCAACAAGGCTTGCTGTGGTGATATTTTGTTTGTGCTGTAACAAATAAAGCTTGCCTAAGGATCAAAGTGTGGAGCAAGCTACTAGTTAGCCATAGAGGCCAGATATGGGTAGCACATACTTTTAATCCCAGCACTCCAGAGGCAGAGGCCTACAAATCTTTGTGAGTTCAAGGCCACCCAGGGCTACACTAGACAGATCCAGTCTCAAAGAGAAACAGAACCAGGTGGTGGTGGCTCACACCTTTAATCCCAGTACTTGGGAGTCACTTGCCTTTAATCTCAACATTGGGGAGGTGGAGACAGTAAGGGATATGGCTAGGAAGAGGAGGAATAAAAGGTGGGAGGAAAGAGGAGCTCAAGGCATTCAGTCTGAGGACTTGTAGAGACAGGATATCCCACCATTAAGTCTGAGGATTTCGTAGAGGTAACTAGTGACTAGCTGCTCTGCATCTCAGATCTTTCAGCTTTCACCCGCTAATACCTGACTCTGGTTTTTTATTATTAAGGCCAATTAGAATTCTCGCTACAGCGTGCCCTTCCATTTTTGTCAAGTCTTTATTTCAGTTTCACATTCTCACTGAGATGAGATTCCCTAACTACTGCCTCCTTTCTGATATTCTTGTCCTGTTCTATTTTCCCAAAAGTACTTATTTATACATAGTAAATCAATATATTTGTTCATAGTATTTATTTTCTATCTCACAAATGCACATTCACACTCAAATATAATTACTTTTACAAAGGCAGGATTTTTTTTAATCTGTTCTGTTCAACTATACATTCTAGGTTCTTAGAACAGTTCTTGACTCATAAAATATATGAGTTCTGGACAAATGCATGAATTATTAAGTTATTCTCTTTACTTTCTTTTTTGAGACAGGATCTTGTGTTATGTATCCCTGGAAGGCCTCAAACTTGCTTAAATCTCTGCCTTTGCCTCCCGAATAGGCAAAATTATAGGCATGTGTCACCACATTTAGCTTAATTTTAATTTTATTGCTTGGCTGAAATAGACACAGATATATGTATATGATTACCAGAAAAAAATGCAATAATGACCAACAATGACAGCTAATTTTACATATAAATTTAATAATTCATTTACCTAGCAGAGTTCTAACACATGAAAAAGACATGTTCAGTAAACAAATCATGAAATAAATGTGAACACTGGCAAATCTGAATTAGGCAGGTTCAACAGCAAACAAATGCCTTCCTAAACATAAACACAAACAGCAATCTTATCAAAAAGGAGAGCTGAGATACTGAAACACCTTGTTGAAGGACAGCCAATGTTTAAGACTTTTCCCAGCTTATCACTTCCATACTCTGTGCTTTTAGGGTTTTTTTTTTTTTTTTTTTTTTTTTTTTTTTTTTTTTTTT